CTGATAAGTGTACTGACCATTAGCCTTGTGTTTCCATTAGGTGTTGGCTGTAATTTATACTTTAGGGTGATACTGATAAGTGTAGTGACCATTAGCCTTGTGTTTCCATCAGGTGTCAGCTGTAATTTATACTTTAGGGTGTTACTGATAAGTGTACTGACCATTAGCCGTGTGTTTCCATTAGGTGTTAGCTGTAATTTATACTTTAGGGTGTCACTGATAAGTGTACTGACCATTAGCCGTGTGTTTCCATTAGGTGTTAGCTGTAATTTATACTTTAGGGTGTCACTGATTAGTGTACTGACCATTAGCCGTGTGTTTCCATTAGGTGTCAGCTGTAATTTATACTTTAGGGTGTCACTGATAAGTGTACTGACCATTAGCCTTGTGTTTCCATTAGGTGTTAGCTGTAATTTATACTATAGGGTGTCACTGATAAGTGTAGTGACCATTAGCCGTGTGTTTCCATTAGGTGTTAGCTGTAATTTATACTTGTCACTGATAAGTGTAGTGACCATTAGCCTTGTGTTTCCATTAGGTGTTAGCTGTAATTTATACTATAGGGTGTCACTGATAAGTGTAGTGACCATTAGCCGTGTGTTTCCATTAGGTGTTAGCTGTAATTTATACTTTAGGGTGTCACTGATAAGTGTAGTGACCATTAGCCGTGTGTTTCCATTAGGTGTTAGCTGTAATTTATACTTTAGGGTGATACTGATAAGTGTAGTGACCATTAGCCGTGTGTTTCCATTAGGTGTTAGCTGTAATTTATACTTTAGGGTGTCACTGATAAGTGTAGTGACCATTAGCCGTGTGTTTCCATTAGGTGTTAGCTGTAATTTATACTTTAGGGTGATACTGATAAGTGTAGTGACCATTAGCCTTGTGTTTCCATTAGGTGTTAGCTGTAATTTATACTTTAGGGTGTTACTGATAAGTGTACTGACCATTAGCCTTGTGTTTCCATTAGGTGTTAGCTGTATACTTTAGGGTACTTTAGTGGTGACCATTACTGTGTTTCCATTAGGTGTAGCTGTAATTTATACTTTAGGGCTGATAAGTGTAGTGTGCCGTGTGTTTCCATTAGGTGTTAGCTGTAATTTATACTTTAGGTGGTGTTACTGATAAGTGTACTGACCATTAGCCGTGTGTTTCCATTAGGTGTTAGCTGTAATTTATACTTTAGGGTGTTACTGATAAGTGTACTGACCATTAGCCGTGTGTTTCCATTAGGTGTTAGCTGTAATTTATACTTTAGGGTGTTACTGATAAGTGTACTGACCATTAGCCGTGTGTTTCCATTAGGTGTTAGCTGTAATTTATACTTTAGGGTGTTACTGATAAGTGTACTGACCATTAGCTGTGTGTTTCCATTAGGTGTTAGCTGTAATTTATACTTTAGGGTGTCACTGATAAGTGTAGTGACCATTAGCCTTGTGTTTCCATTAGGTGTTAGCTGTAATTTATACTTTAGGGTGTCACTGATAAGTGCACTGACCATTAGCCGTGTGTTTCCATTAGGTGTTAGCTGTAATTTATACTTTGGGGTGTTACTGATAAGTGTAGTGACCATTAGCCGTGTGTTTCCATTAGGTGTTAGCTGTAATTTATACTTTAGGGTGTCACTGATAAGTGTACTGA